CGGGGAGTGATCAGCTTCTGAAAACTGATTTTGATTCTGCTTCTGCTTTAAAAAAAACAGAAGCAGAATCAGTTCCAAACACCCCCTAAATAGAGAATAATGAAGGGTAAAAAAGAACTCACAAGCATCAGCCATAGCGAAACGCTGCTACCCTCAATGTTTCCGTTTTCGGCTTATAGACTTCAACCAGCCAGAGGAACCAGCTCATTACCAAACAACATTGTCAGCTTCGTGAACAGTCAAACCAGTTAAATTTGGTCAAAGAAGCTAAAAATCGGTTGATAAGCCGTTTTCCAAACACAGCCATAAAGTTTAGGTTTTGCCAATTTATAATAATAAGATGTTAATTTTATAATATTAAGAAAGTTGATTATACGGAGTAATAAGAAATTATGTAAATATACAATTTATAATAATAAGATGTTAATTTTATAAATTTAAGAAAGTTTATTAAGTTAAACTATACAAGGATATTGTTTATAGTTTAACGTTTAGGATTTAGGGTATATACTACTCCGTATATAGGTTTAGCCAATTTATAATAATAAGATGTTAATTTTATAAATTTAAGAAAGTTTATTAAGTTAAAAACTTGTCATATAATAGAAATTGTAAATATCATAGAAAAAGTATAACTAGAAAGTATGAGAGAAAATATGAAATGTATGATAGATGATGAAGAGGGATAAAATTAAGGGAATTTATATATTATTGCATGAAAGATTTTCATAACAGTAAAGTGTCTCGTGTAATAAAATATTATTCTAAAAATATTGCATGTCAACAAATTTTGCCTACGGTCTTATTTGCAAAATTTTGATTTATTTCATTGAGAACAATAACAATGAACCGATCATAGTTCAGATTATTACAACTAGATATCCACATATCTATATAATATAATAAAGCAAACCCTTGGAGAACTCTTTGGAGGAATTCATGACATGTGGCAACATCCTTTGTGTTAAAAAATGGCATGTGGCAACACAATAAATTCAAGAAAAAACTATTCAACTTCAAAAACTCTACTCTTATGTATTCCAATGTTATATACTCCGTATATGTATTTATATTTATAGATGTGTATATATAAATATAAATAATAAGTATATTTGAAAATAATTTTTGTAGTAAAATATAAATAAATATTTATATTTAAATGGACAGAAAAAGGTTGAATTTATTTAAAAAGGAAATGTCACTGCATTTTTTATTTCTGGTAACACATATTTCTACATCACATAATGCACAATTTTCAAATCTAACGATCCGGGTCAATGTTTCAGTTCGTTCATTCTCTTCATAGAATGCATTCTCATTTGGTCACCCAAATTATATATATAAGAAACTAAAATACGTACTAAGCACACAATACTTGATAAGTTTAATTTAAAATATTATTAAATCATTGTTATACAAAAATTTGATAACTATTAAATTGTACTACCTCTGTCCCACTAACATTGAGACATTATGTGGTGACACAATTATTAAGAATAATGAGTTTATGTAGTTGGCATGGAAGTGATAAAGTAAGAATCATTTAAAATCACACAAACATTACCTAATTTTGTATGAGACAGTGTTAGAGGGACGTATCGAAAGAGAAAGATAAGAGAATCTTAGCGGGACGAAGGGAGTATCTCTCAAAAACACTCATTGTACAAAAACAAAGATGCAAATTACATCTTTTGAGTAAACATTTGTAAACAATAACTATTAATGGTTAAGAAATTATTTTCAACAATAACATAAAAAATATGCTAGAGTAATTTTTTTATAGTAGTTTATTTGAATAATTATTATATATAGAAATTATAGATCAACAAGGATTGTAAAATAATAAGTATATATGAAAGTAATTTTGGTAGTGCACCATCAATATTGAAGACAAAAAAATTAAAAAATACATGTTTATATTTTGGGTTAGTCGCAACCTGCATTGCTCAACTCACGTAACATGCAACCCATGCAAGTTGACCCACGAAATCCGTGAGTTCATTGGATAAAAAGTGACAACTCTTACCCACCGTGAAATGGGCTAGCCCTAAGGACTTTAACTCATTTTGACATCTCTATCCACAGTCAAATAAATTTTCTTTTAAACCCTGATTGACGAATTCACATACAATTCACTTCTCTTACAATTTTAATAAAAACTTTAAGCGCATATTTTGCCGTGCGGTGCACGGGTACACATACTAGTATATAACTAGACTAGAACAAACGGTGACAACTGACAAGTCAAGTGAAATTATTATTGGCAGACGGTGCCTATAGTGACCATGATGCTGACTTTGAACTTTGAAGTAGTTCCATCAATGGCCATATTCCCCACCCTGACTTCCATTGTTTCCCTCACATCTCTCTCCTTCATAATGTTTCTGTTCTCTGGGACATCTGGTGGAAGTGAACTAATTACACGAGAAGGCACAGGGTGCGTTGGACCTCCAATTAGCCATGGGTGGTTAAGACACTGTGCTGCCGTGGGTCTTTTCTCTGGTACAAAATCAAGTATGGGGACAAGAAAATCTGACATCTCGGTTGCATCTTTCTCAGTGAACTCAAATTTTTCCATGAGCACCTTGGTTATCGGCCAGAACCGCAACCGTCTCATGTGCCTCAAGTCTCCATATCTATTAAAGAACTCCCATGAATAGCGCCCCCCCTAACGCAATCTTTCGCGGCATCATCCCAAGAAGCTCCATCATTAAGGCCAAGTGATCCTCATCTCTGTCATAATTGTCACCACTATGAGGATAAAAAAGGACATCTCCCGTTGCCATCTCAAAACAAATGCAAGCGAAGGACCATAGATCTGCAGAAGTTGAATATTTGGAACCCCAGGATCACTTCTGGACATCTATATTGCCTAGTCTGGATATTGCTTGTAAACTGTTTATAAGTCCAACACGCATTCCCAAAATCGACCAATTTGCATTTGAGTTCCACTTCAGCTAACAGCTTCTGCCTTATCGAACGGCTGCCTCTCTTATGTTTCTGAATTCCTTGGTTCCCGTCTATTAAGTTTCCGATGGTTTTATTGGGTACGTCTTCTTGGGATTTACACTCAGTTTGATCATCATTTAAGTCCCCGTCTGGATTTTCATCATGATTAGAATGTTCAGGAGTACCTACTTCATTATCTGGATCCAGTTCATCAGAAGCTTCTTTTCCAGCACAACTTTGAGCAGCTCTCTTAGCTTTGCTCCGGATTTTCTTCTTCTGGTTTTTTGTCAGATCACCATTTGAGCTCCTACTCTCCTTTAAAGACCCCGTCTCTGAGACAACCTTGTTTTTACTGGATGGGAGAATGAGTGACGCACAAGACTTTATTGGATCTTTGGCTGGATCAATCATCGACAGAAGCAAAATGTTTTCTGGCTTTAAGTCTGTGTGTATTATAGAGAGTTCACGATGAAGATAATCTAGACCCACTAGAATGTGGGCACAAATTTCCTTCACCTTGTGAAGAGGAGTCCCTCGATAGTCTGAATACTTGATGAGGGTCAGCAGATTATCACCCAAGTACTCAAAAACCATGCAAACGTGTTGGCCATTGGGGCCTGAATGTTTAAAGTTATCCAGTAACTTCACAACACACTTTGTATCATCAGGGTCCGCTTCAGCTATTTGCTTTAGTATTGTTAGGGGTGAGCAAATAACCGATACAACCGATCTAACCGAAAACCGATGACCGAACCGACCGAAAAATTCGGTTTTCGGTCGGTTATCGGTTGTTAAAAATTTAAACTTTCGGTTTTTCGGTTAATCGGTTATTATTCGGTTATTGTTATCGGTTATTGGTCGGTGACCGATAACCGACCAAAATATATAAAGCTTTACTAAAAACACTATTTGGGGTAGTTCCCGGTAGAATTTTTTAATGAAATTTTATGAGCATGTTCCTTATGAAATATAGATTATCTCCACTAAATTTCACCTTAAAATTCAATCGGGAAGTCAGTTAAATATTTTTTTTCAATTTACAGCGCCAAAATACATAAAAACGCAATATTTTTCAAAAATTTATTTAACTAACTTCCGGATGGAATTTAAAATTGAAATTTGGTGGAGATTATATACACTTCAGTAGGAATATGCTTATAAAATTTCATAAAAAAATTCCACCGGGAACCACCTTAAATAAAAAAAATGCTAAATATTTCTACATGTTCGGTTATGGTCGGTTTTTTGGTTACCGACCGAAACCGAACTTCGGTTTTTCGGTCGGTTAGAGTTATACTATCGGTCGGTTATCGGTCGGTCATTCCAATTAAAATTTTTGGTCGGTTATTCGGTTATCGGTCGGTTATTTGACCGACCGACCGAATGCTCACCCCTAAGCTGTATTGTAATTTCATCCATTGCTGCTTCAGTATAATGCTGAGCACTCTTTTGAAATTTCAGGGCCACATATTTGGATTTTATAGTGTCCCAAGCTAGCCAGACAGTGGAGAAGTGACCCCAACCGAGCTTGCTCTGGACTATGTAACGCCCGTGCTTAAATGTATCTCCAATTCGGACAGCGTGGTAGCCTCCGCGTCTGTAGTCTTCAGTCCCCTCATCCTCCGATGTGTAGTCACTAGTCTCACTCCGATCATCTCCATTCCATCCCTCTCTCTCCGCCATAGTTGACAGGTCGGAGCTCCGGCAGGTCGATCCGGATAAGGAATGAAATGTTGTTATTGGAGAAGGCAGTGCTTGAAAGTGTTAGAGAGAGAAAGGGGAGGAGAGTAATTCATCCATTCTTTCTTGCATAGTTATGCTTTTCTGAAATGTAGCATATTCACATATAAAAACGTCTCTTAGGATGTAAGATTTGCAAACTATTTTGTCTTAAAAATTGATGGAAATGGTAGTGCTTAAAATATATTCACATGCCAGGAGGAAACTGGGATGAGTACGGGGCATTGTCTTGTACAATCGGAGATTCAGGACAGAACGAGATTGATGGAGGCAAAAAAAGTGGGTGTACATAGACAAATTGAGAAACGGGAGTTTGGTACACTGATTTATCTCATTAACAATCACAATATTACACCTAACGTCCAAGTTTAGTTAACTGGAAATAGTAAACAAAGATGCATCAATCAGGCCATGTTACAAAAATGGCCAAACACAGGTTAGACTGAAGGCCTATGTATCAAAGGCATGTCTTATTGTCACACTTACACGCTTTGAAATTCGGTAAACACTTAAATGCATGTTGCCGTAAAGTATCTTTTTTTACTCCCGGGGGCGTCTGGGGGAGGGGGCTTGGAGTAATCAGGGCCGAAATTCACTCCATTGAGTTTCGAACCCGAGACCTCCCGTAAGGGAGAGTGAGTCGGCGACCAGCTGGACTAGACCGCTTCCTCGTTGCCGACTTGCCGTAAAGTAACTTATTCATTTTTATTCCAACATCATTTTGACCGAAACAAGATGCTTGTGTTCGGTAACGCGTTGGGATTCTGCAAAATACGTCTCCACATCATCAGGGTCTTCAACATCTTTATGTATGTATGTACTTAATCAAATTATAAGTAAATAAAAATGTGTGTGCAACTGTGCATACATATGTAGAGAAAAATTCTCGTCAGATGCGCCACTTTTATCATGAAAGATACATCTTCACTTGAACTCCCGTCATTCATACCTTCACCACAGAATGTAGCCATGCAATGTTTTTGAAATACATAAATAATAAATAGGCAGCAAATAACGCATTAAGACAAAAAATAAAATATATGTCAAATATTATCTCTATATTACCTCTACATCAGTTTATAAAAAAAGGCCCGGGTTCCCCCCCCCCCCCCCCATCTCTCAAGGTCTCATCGTTGGACCCTACAAGAAAGACCTAAAAATAAACCAAAAATGAAAATTGTTGTCATGTTTTCACTTTTTTATACATAGGAAGGGATGTCATGTTTTCACTACACATTCTTGAAATCAGAAACGGTTTTGTCCATTTATAATTGAGTTACACAGGTAGTGAATGTAACTCCTGTAGAAAAAGAAAACATTCCGCTTTGGGCTTATACATAAACATCGCCTCTGGAAAATGGTCATTGATTCCAAGACCACAAATTTTAAAGTTCACCCTTTCTCCGCCTATTGAGTTTGGTGAAACTCAGATATGATAAAATAAAGCAAATTTAAAGACAGTTTGTTCCTTCTCCAGAACATCATATATTTGGTTCTTCAGAATAGAAATAAATTATTGCATCAGTCCCAAAAGAAATAGTCCCTTGCCAAAAAAATCTTAGACCTTTAAGAAGGGTCAGATTCCAACAAAGATGTAAAATTCAGTAGAGCAAACAAATAACTTAAAAATACAAGTAGGACTGACAAAAATTTAAAGGTTGTGTATCTCGATGAAAGAAAACTTTTTTGGAGACGGAGGCAATATACATTTAGTCACATCACTCAGTCACATCACATGACATGAATCGAAATATGAATATCGCTACTGCTTGATTTTCAAGGTAGAAAGAGAAGGAGAGTTAAGGTACAAGGGGAGCCAACGATAAAGTGGTGGAGGCTCGAGGGGAATCTCCAACAAACTTTTGCACAGAAAATGTTGGAGGAAGATGTATGGTCCATTGATAATGACGCACATGTGAATGATGTGTGGTTATCAATGGAGTCCACCTTTAACAAAGTGGCGAAAGAGATACTTGGAGAATCTAAAGGGTCTACCACCAAAAAAGGACACATCTTGGTGGAATGATGAGGTAAAACAAGCAATAAGGATCAAAAGGGAATGCTATAAGAAATTGGGCAAAAGTTGGAGCGACGAGAACATAGAGGAGTACAAGGAGGCTAGAAGAAGAGCAAAGATAGTTGTAAAGGAAGCAAGAGGAAAAGTGAACAAAGAATTGTATGCAAAATTGGACTATAAGAAAGGAGAAAAAGATATTTACAGACTTGCTCGTCTTCGTGACCGTAGGACTCAAGATATCAGAAAAGTTAAGTGTGTGAAAGATGTCGATCAAAGGGTACTAATGAAGGACGGGGAGATAAAAGAGAGGTGAAGGTCATACTTTGATACACTATTCAACGGGAACAAAGCGCAAGACATCGGTGATTTGACCATACCAGATTGTATGGTAAATCGTGATTTTGTGAGAAGGATCCAAACAACGGAAGTTAAAGAGGCTCTGAGGAAGATGGGGCGGAAGAAAGCAGTGGGTCCAGATGGCATACCGGTCGAAGCTTGGAGAAGATTGGGAGAGAGAGGCATCGAGTGGTTAACAAGTTTCTTCAACATGATTTGGAGAAACAACAAGATGCCAACGAGTTGGAGGAAGAGTACTCTTATCCCCTTATTCAAGAATAAAGGTGATGTACAAGAATGTGCCAACTATCGAGGGATTAAACTTATGAGTCACACCATGAAACTTTGGGAGCGAGTGGTTGAGCAAAGACTTCGAAGAACTGCAAAGATTTCAGAGAATCAATTCGGTTTTATGCCTGATCGCTCAACAACTGAGGCCATTCGCCTTCTTCGGAAACTTATGGAGAAGTATATAGACGCTCACAAGGATCTGCATTTGGTGTTTATTGACTTAGAAAAGGCTTATGATAGGGTACCTCGAGAAGTTCTTTGGTGGGCCTTAACTAGTAAAGGCATATCACGCAAGTATATCAGCATCATCATGGATATGTATGAGGATTGTACTACAAGTGTCTGTACTGGTGTAGGGAGGACTGTGGAGTTCCCTATTACTATCGGAGTGCACCAAGGATCGGCTCTGAGCCCTTTCTTGTTTGTTATAGTCATGGATGAACTTACGAAATCAATTCAAGACGAAATACCTTGATGCATGATGTTTGCCGACGATATTGTATTAATTGATGAGACGCAATCAGGTCTTAAAGCAAAGTTGGAAGTATGGCGAGAAACATTGGAGAACAAGGGTTTCAGACTAAGTCGGGGCAAGACAGAGTACATGGAGTGCAAGTTTGGTGGAGGTAGAAGCAGTGGTAATAGTGGAATTACTTCAAATGGTAAGGAGATACCGGTCAGTGATATGTTTCATTACTTGGGCTCCATAATTCAGAAGGACGGTGAGTTAGATGGAGATGTATCCCATAGAATCAGAACAGGGTGGATGAAGTGGAAGAGTGCGTCAGGATTTCTATGCGATAGAGGTATGCCGACTAGACTGAAGGGTAAATAAGTTTTATAAGACAGTAATTAGGTCTGCATTACTGTATGGCGTAGAGTGTTGGGCGGTGAAACAATGTCACATTCAAAAGATGAGTGTGGCAGAGATGCGCATGCTGCGTTGGATGTGTGGGCATACTAGGAAGGACCACGTGATGAATGAGACAATTAGACAAAGGGTGGGAGTAGCACCTATTGAAGACAAGATGCGGGAGTCGCGCCTACGGTGGTTTGGTCATGTGCGTAGACAACCGAGTGATGCACCTGTCAGACGAGTTGAGATGTGTGGAGAAGAGGCAGGGAGGAGAGGGAAGGGAGGGAGAGGAAGACCCAAACAGACGTGGGTTAGGGGAGTCCGAAGTGATATGCTTTTTCTTGGGTTAGATGAGGGTATGACTTTGGAGAGAGCAAAGTGGAGGGCGAGTATTCGTGTGGAGGAGTGATTTCGTATTTTCTTTTCCCCTCATTTTTTCTTGTTTTTTTATTCTTTTATCCTTATACATATAAACATTATTTTTATCCTTTTTATTCTATCAGTTTTAGGTATATTCATTTTTTTATCTTTTTCATAATAGCTTATCTTTTTATCTTTATTTTCATTCTTTTCCTTTTGGTGGTGATATCATGTATCGATTCATGTTAGCCGACCCCAATATCTTTTGGGAATAAGGCTTGGATGTTGTTGTTGTTGTTGTTTGGAGGCAATATACATTTGGTTCTTCAGAACAGAAATCTATAATACACCATTGTGATAGAATTTATTTCCATGTATACTTTGGAATACTTCTTCCTCTCATACATCCTATAACTACTCACTATTCCTAGTTAAGGTATTCATGAACAAGTTGCAAAGTGAACAACTTTGATGGATTTCATTGAATAAACCTCAATTGCTTACTTCCTTACCGTAATCTTTTCTGTTGAACCAGAAACAGAACTGCTTCTTCCTTCCACCATCTCGATCTATAACTCAAACAACTGCTGACATAGTGAAAAGGGATACAATTCCAGGAATCAAGGCAGGGTGTCTACAAAAAAAATGTACCATGAACTTCTTAAAGTTGCATGAGGATTCTTACAGAGTTACAGTAAGCATTTCAAAATATAAAACCCCATTTTGTTAACACTAGATGCTACACTTTCTTTTTCTATCCCTTCTTTGATATTGATACATCCTGACAAAGAAAATGCAACAGCTACGTGGACAGTAAAGTCATCCTACTGAAAATACAACAGAAATTGACCTAAATAGGAGTAAAAACGTTTTGAAATTCCAAAATAGGAGTATCATGTTTTTTATTCCCTAAATAGGAGTAAATTTCTGCCAAGTTTGGCATTACAAGGCTTTTAAACATGACATTTTCTTCCAAACTTGGCAGATTACTCTTATTCAAGAAATAAAAAACATGATACTCCTATTTTGGAATTTCAAAACGTTTTTACTCCTATTTAGGGAATTCTCTCAAAATACAACAAGTATAACCCCTCTCGAGACTGGTTTTGTGGATCCCTATGAATAATAGCCAGATAAGGCTTATGATATATTCCCTCCGTCAGATTATTTTCTTCCCGTTTTCTTTACAACCACACAATTTCACTTTCGTAATAACCATGCCAAGTCAAACTAGAAAGAAAGCTTCGGGACGGAGAGAGTATATCTTAGCATTGATGTTCTATGTATCCCATTTTGATGTTAATTAAAATATACTATTAAACAACATCACGAGTTTGGGCATGGACAACCGAATTCATTAATTTCTTCATTGTCAAGAAAAAAGGCTTGAGCACCTTGAGACATCAGTTATTTTCTCGGTTAATGGTAAAGATATTTGAGTTGTTTTGAATCAACCACAAGTTCAAAGGCACTTCACAAACACTTTTTAAAACATACTCCTTTACCGTTCATGGTTTTGAAATATTAGTTCCACCATTTGCATATGAACAGCAAAAGATCTACATAAGAGTTGAAGTTCTCCGATGTCAATTCAGTTGGGTTCTGCTATCAAACATCAATGGTTCAACTTGAAGTAAGATAGAAGTCAGTCAAGTCATATGATACTTACTTTAATTGCAATCTTATGGCATACTTGGACCGTGGCCTTCAATTTATATTTCGAGGTGAGTCAAGTCACATGATATTTACTTTAATTGCAATCTTATGGCATACTTGGACCATGGCCGTCAATTTATATTTCCAGGTGTTTGAAGAATTGAACAAAGAGATGCCTGAGATAAGATTATTATACTTAAAAACCAGTGAACAGAGGGTAAAGAAATGAACTTATATATTATTATAGACTACAGTTTTTGCCAAGAATACTGCCAAAGCACATGCGAAAATTGAAATTCTACCAGAACTTTTTACAGCATGCTCTTAAAATGAAAGAATAATTCACACTTTGGCCATGCATATATTACAATCCTTAACCATGGTACTGTGCATTTAAAATAAACTAAAGAATGCATAAGAACCAAATATGCAAAATCTGTTTAAAGAACAAAAGCACACCTTAACGTTAAGTATTGCTAAGAGGTCCTTCAATCTTTAATGCCTGGCATCACTGCTATGACCCCCAGTTAGCCATATATCCGAAATTGGATAAGCCCCCTACATCCAAATGTAGTGAAATATTAGAATTCAAATTTGAGGTTAAAGAAGATAGTACTCCCTCCGTCCCGCTATGATTGTCTCATTTTACCATTTCGGTCCGTCCCACTAAGATTGTCTCATACCTTATTTGGTAAAGTTTGTGTGGTTCTAAAACATTCTTACTTTATTCTTACTTTATCAATTCAATATCAACCACATAACACACTTTTATTAATAACCGTGTCACCTCCTTTTGTCCCAAACTTAGGGGGACGGAGGTAGTATTTATTAATTTAGGATAAATAGCGCCCCCCTGAAAAAATAGATAAATAGAGGAAAGAGCATAGAGAAAAGGCAGAATGCACCTTACACATCACATTCTGGCTTCGCGAGTTGCGTATGAAGAATGTGGGATTATCTCATGAATTTGGTAATTGAGCAAATGTCCCTCTGTTAGGAGTACAGCCACCAACCATCATTCTTTCATAGACTGCAAATGCTCGGTCAGTTTCACCCGACAAGCTATACCCTTTAATTAGAGCATTATATGTAAAAATATTAGGTTCAAGACCCAGATGCTGAAGTTCTTCATACAGTTTCCCTGCCTCTTCCATCCTTCCAATCATTCCAAGATTGAAGATTAAAGAATTATATGTATAAAGGTCAGGAGTGACTCCTTTGTTTCCCATCTCATCAAGAAGACATAAGGCTTCCTTGAACTTCCCCACCTTTCCAAGGCCATTGATCATAAGATTGTATGAAACTAAATCAGGATTGATGCCTGAGGATTTCAATTCCTCAAAGTAGTGCATGGCATCTTCCACTTTTCCAGCCAAGCAAAGGCAATCCACAAGAATGGTATAAGATTTTAAATTTGGTCTAATGCCTTCTCTGATCATTTTCTCAAACAGATGGCAGGCAGTTTCCAGATCGCCTGCCTTTCCAAACCCATTTATGAGAATATTGTAAATGGCAGGGTTAGGATTGCAACCATAGTTTGCCATTTCGTCAAAGAAATTCTTTGCATCATCAAACCTCTCAGCCTTCAAAAGACCATTTATCAGTGGACCATATGTACAAGGAGTGGGAGAAAAGCCACCACTGACAAGATCATAATAAAAATCTAGTGCTCTCTCTAACTTACCTAACTTCACCATACCAGAGATAAGTATATTGTAAGTTATGGCAATGGGCTTACATCCTCTGTGAAGCATTTCTTCATACAGTTTGAAAAGTTCATCAATATTTCCAGACTTCCCAAGATGATCGAGCAACACGTTGTATGTGAAAACATCTGGGGAACAACCTGCATTTTTCATCTCCCTGAACACATCCCATGCCAGCTCTGGAAGATGAGCATCAATAAGCCCCTCAATCAGAGGATAATACGATTTTATAGTTGGACAAATTCCAAAAGATTTTGTAACCTTTTCAAAGACACGATGAGCATCAAGAGCTCTCTTTTTCTTACACAGTGACCTTATCAAAGATACCATAATCATTTCACTTTTGCAGATACCCTTATATGTCAGCATTTCTATAAACAACAAAGAATATTCTGATCTTGTTTCATTCACAAATCCATCGCAAAGACTTCTCCAGAAAGAATCATTTGACCAATGTGGCCTTTTCCAAACAAAATCCTCGGCAATTTTAACAGCATACTCAACGGAGCCATCTTTTACAAGGCTGGAAACAATTATGTTAATGGTCACACAGTCTGGCTGGAAAATCTTCTTCATCTGGTTGAAAAGCCAAAATGCTTCACGGACCCTTTTCTCTTTAGCCAATCCATCAATGACAGTGTTATAGGTAAAAATATCAGGATTGCAGTTCTTTATTGTCATTTCATAAAGCATCTTCATGGCTGTATCAACCTCGCCGTTCTTACAAAGACAGTCCAGAAGAGTATTATAGGTTATTGTGTTTGGAAAACATCCCTCTCTGCCCATGCTCTCAAATAATTTAAAAGCCTCTTTAACTCTACCTTCCCTTCTAAGTCCAGCCAAGAGTGTGTTATAAGTCACTATCGTAGGAACAAGTTTCATATCCTTCATTCTATGAAAAAAATTCCAAGCCTCATCAGTTCGACCATCCTTATAAAGCATGTCAATCAATGAATTGACTAAAACCACATCAGGCTCACATTCATTTTCCATCATCTCATGTAGCAAGTGAATGGCTTCATCAGTTTTCCCAGCACTGTTGTAGCACATCATCATAATGTTATAAGTTATAGAATCTGGAACTTGACCACTCTTTTTAATTCCATAAAAAAAACTCTTAGCCTCCCTGAACCTGCCAGATTCTACCAGGCTATACAAAGAAGCATTGAAAGCTACGAGATTTGGCACAACCCCATGAACTCTCATCTTCTCAAACATCTGAAGTGCTTTATCAGGATCTCCAACCTTTCCATAATAGTCGATAAAGAGGACATACGTGAAACAAGTACGCTGAATTCCAAAAGACTCCAAATTATCGAACAGTCGCGTCGCCTCATCCACTTTATTCATTCTTAGAAGGCCATTAATCAGTGAGTTGTAAGTATGAAGATTAGGTGATACTCCCTTCTCTTTCATAGCATCTAAAGTGGAAAAAGCCTCATCGACCTTCCCATCTTTACACAATGCATCAATTAGTATCGTAAAAGTAACAACATCTGCTCCATAGCCATCAGCTTCCATCATTTTAAAAAAATCTCTCACAGAATCCAAGTCCCCAGAGTCACTAAACCTGTCTAGCAGTGTGATATATGTGACTCGATCAGGTTTCTGGCTAACCGATTTCATTTTAGCGAAAATTTCTTTTGCAGTGTCAAGTTTTCCTGCAATACAAAGAGAATCAATTAGAACTGTATATGTGATGACGTCAGGCGTGCACCCCTCATTTTCCATTCGCTTCAATATAGTACAGGCATCATCGATTTTTCCAGCTTTCCCGAGCACTCTTATACAGATGGTAAAGGTGTAAATGTTAGGTTTCAATCCTAAATCATCCATCCCGTTTAATAAACTCAGGAGTGTCAGGGTGTCTTTTCTCTTCCCACAAGCAACCATTAATGCCGAGTATGTCTTAAGGCTCAGCTTAATTCCTTCTGAAACAGCTCTTCTATAAACTTCTAAAGCTTCCTGAGTTAATTTAGCTTGAAGCAGTAAGTGTATTAATCCATTATAGGAATAGGCATTTAAAATAAAACCTTCTCTTCTCATCCCCTCTAGAGCAAATGGTGCTTGTCTTAACCCTCCCCTAATGTGAAGACCTTTAAAAATCGTCAAATACGTCTCAAGATTCCTATATATGATCTGTTTCTGCATTACATCAAACACCGTAGCCATATCATTGACCCTCCCATGAATCCTCAAAAGCTCAAGCATGTAATTACATGTTTCTGTGGTATGAATCACCCTAGGCAGTTTAACAACAGACATAAACATAGAAAAAGCCTGGCTCGGATTTGATAACGACTTCAGGATCTCAAACACTTCTTCCGAGGAAACACCACTCCTTAGATTCTCAGACGAAGAGTTCGTCTCATTCTGGTTCTGGAAGACACCCTCATTTTCAGTTTTCTTCCAATTGCCTACAGAACTAGGCTCGAAACCCTTCAAAGCTTTAAACTTTCTGCCGCCAGCTCTTCCATTACTCATGGAAACACACATTGACAGGAAGCTATTATTACCTGGAGTAGACTCCGCTACGGATATACAATCGTAATAAGCGCAAAAGAACCTTGAGGAATGAAGTACAACCACAGCCATATTTTAAAATGAACTTCAGAAGATCGAATGCTTGGATTCAATCACTTATCTGAAAGCCAGAGATAAACTTACAGAGCAAACATTTAGAAAACTAACAATGAATCTATGGCTGAAAGAAACGAGATAATAGGCTTATCTGTAGTCTGTACACTGGGAATTAAGTGGTTATGTGTAATGGGAGAGCAATTTTGTTCGAGGAATGGGTAGCAATTTTGTTCGAGGAATGGGTTTTTTTGGTTAGGTTTTTACCTAAAACCAAATACAGAACTAAAGTAAAAGTTCGGTACGGTTTCGGTTCAGTTTTACACTCCAAAACTCAGAACCACGGTTTGATTGGTTCGGTTTGTTTCGGTTCGGTTTCGGTTCTTTCGGTTTTTTACCAAAAATTTGTCATTTGATTTAAAATTGATATAATAGTTGGAGGGATCGAATATATTACATAAAAAAATACAAGCATACTAGAAAAAATGAAGTAAAAATAAGAATAAATAAACATGTCTTGAATTATATGAGTATGCAGGAGAGATATAAGTGTATATATTCTTAATTTACATTGTTTGTGACTAGTTTGAAAAAAGTTCATGAATACATACATCATACTCTCTCCGACCCCTAACTTTGTCCCGTTTTACTTTTTTCGACCGTCCAATTAAGTTTGTCTCATACCATATTTGGCAATATTTGGGTAGTTACAATTCATTCTTACTTTATTCACACTATATCAACTAGTATTGTACCGTGCGATGCACGGGACAATAATATGTTTGTATTTTTGGGGTGATTATTTTAAAGTAATTATAAAGATATGCTAATAGTCAAGTTCCTTAGAAATTAGAATGATTTAATGTTAAAAAATACTCCTTACACGTATAAATAAATATTGCGATAAAATAGTACTCCGTATGTGTTGGGGGTTGAATTTAAAAAAAAATCACCAAAATGACCAAATGCTGGAAAGTGAATACAGTACTTAAATATAAGAACCTATTATTCAATTTCTTGACATCTCCCCTACTCCTAGAGATGGCAATTGTGACCGATCCGATGGATACCCGCACCAAACCGCTCCGGTCAAAACGGGAAAAACCGCTTTGACCGGGTAACGGGTACGGGGCGGGGAATACCCGTTTTGTTTTTACGGGTAATGGGGCGGTCACGGTTTTATACATGCCCGCCCCATTACCTGCCCCGTACCCGCCCCATTTATTTTTTAGTTATATTTTACTACATTCTTATCTATTATTTGTCCCACAACTAATAAAAGATGATATTTTTCAATTTTCATTGGTATATATGGATAATAGATGTACTAACTATATAGTGTATGAATTTTGTTCATAATAGATCTTAATAGTCTTTTTTTATTATAATCAGATTTTTTCCGTGATTAATTATTTTTCAAATCAAGTATTTTTATGTTTAAATTAATTTAGGTTGTTTTCTTTCTCGTTTTGTAGATATACGAAACTTTAAAATGACGTCTGAGTCTAAAGTCGTCTAGGTGATGCCATTTTTCACCTTTTAAAATATTATTTTTATATTAAAATATCAATGACCCATTTAATAAAGCGATTACGCGCGGTTACCCGCGGTTATACCCGTTACCCGTTGGGGCGGTTATGGTTTGGATAAAAAATACCCGTTGGGTAATGGGGCGGTTATGGGGCGGAGGAATTATCAAACGGGGCGGGTACGGTTATATGTAAAACCGTCCCCGATCCGCCCCGTTGCCATCCCTACCTACTCCGTATATTTAAGAACAGATAATTATTTTCTTAAAATCACGTCAAACTCATCGGGACGTGAGTACCATATACTTCTATATGAATTAAAGGTTGAAAAACAAAGTAGGCAATGTTTTACTGCATGAGTACCATATATATATTCTACTCCGTATAGCATATACCGGCTAACCGGCTTATCATTCATAAATTGTAAGTTTAATGTTGTGTCTGGTTGTGGCTTGATTTTTATACGAAAGAATGACTGCAATAACTCTACACGGATTTCATGAGACAAAAATAAGTCCAGAACTTTATTTTGACAAAAATAAGATTAAACTAAAATTAAATGTCTGATTTGCCCCTGAAGCCTGCTGGAGGATGAATAACTTCCGATGCGGCTCCTCATATCACACGCATATCTACGCATATCTACAGTAGCTTTCTCCTCCATGGGGTATAGCTCCCGATGTGGCTCCTGACCGGCGTTGCCTCCACTCCCATCTCCGCCGCCGTTGTAGTCTACTACACCGCCGTTCCGCCACCCAACAATTTTCTCCTTCTACTCTTTCTTTCCAAAGGCGAACAGAATCAGATTATCCCAAGCCAATCTAATTCAGACCTCCATCGAGGCAAATCTGGAAGGAGATGAAATCAGGGGAGGAAGATCACTTCCAGCGACGGCGAATCTGAGCAGTGGCGGCCGGAGGTAGACACGACGGCTACACCTTGGTTGAGGCTAGGGTTTTTGGGTAGGGTGGGCGGCGGATACGGTCTAGGGGGATGGGTTAATGGGGGCTGGAGAGGGGCACCGGGGGTTGGCCGTTGGGATGGGGCCTGGGTTGTTGGATCTGTGGAGCTGACGGCTGGGGAGGGGGGCTGGGCTGGTGGGGCTGCTGTTGGGAGGGTGTTGGCAGACTGTGGGTGACGTGGGGGCTGGGTGAGGCAGGGGTTGGGGTGTGGTGTTGGCGGTGGTGACCGGAGGTGTCTTTGGTCGGCGTGGTGGTATCGCGTAACTATTAATGGTGAAACCCGGTAATTTTAATCGGTGGAATTTTATATTCTGTAATTATAACCGGTTGAAATGAGTAACTGTAACTGATGAGTCAGGTAATTGTAACTGGATATTAAGTAAGTGTAATTGGTGGGTCGAGTAACTGTAACAACGGTAATAACTGGGCGGTGGTCATTGGAACGGTAGTAACTGAGAATGTAGTCACTGGAGCGGTAGTAAATGGAATGATGGTCACTGGAACGGTAGTAACTGAGACGGTAGTCACTGGAGCTGTAGTAACTAGAATGACGGTCACTGGAGCGGTAGTAATTGAGACAGTGATCACTGAAGCGATTAAAAATTAGGACAATTTTTTGCACAAATTTTGTTGTAATAATAATTTAAATTTAAGATCCTAATATTTTCATATCCAAATATGTATATTAAAAAAAGATTAAAACAAAAAGATGCATTGCTTTTTAGTGTTCGCATGTTACACCCAGGCATTTGCTGATTTGCATACTAACGGCGTAAATTACTTGAACGCATTTGGAAACGGAGTGTCCACTTAGGAATGGTACTTTCGGAAACTGAGTGTTTATTAATCATATTTTTGGAAACTAAAGAAGAAGTTCACTTTTTTGTCCATTACTTCTTTTTTATAATATTCAAGTCAAAACCTCTTTTTATACTACGCATTATACTATCTTATAATTATGTCATACTTTTAAGAATAAATAAATTACAATAATATATACGGATTTAACGCTATCTACGTCTATCGTCTATGGCTTTATGCATAAGATGATCAGAGCATAATACACATTTACACTATTACATCATATATACGACGTATAAGATCAGACCCCTACCATCAGGGGCGGACCCAGGAAGTTTATCTTGGGAGGATGGTAACTTAAAAAAATATTTTTTGGGAGGGCGAAAATTATTTTTTGGTATATATATACACTAAAAAAAAATTATTGGAGGAGCGACTGCCCCCATGGGTCTCTACTACGGTCCGCCCCTGCCTACCATGCATGAGATTTGAACAATCTTATTTTTAACTTGCCATGATCAAACATTAAGGCGGCGTATGTACCTATATGTGATTCTAGGAAGATACATCTATCTCATACGAAGTACTGTATTTGGCATCTACGGGGTATTTTTTTATTTGCAGGGTACTTCTTGTGTTGCTCATGGAAAACCAAACCTTTAAACCCCATTTATACTGGAATTATTCATGTCATTGATAAACAGATCGATGAAATAACACGTGTGTGATTGTAAATATACTCAAAATAATTTGATTAAGACGATGAGCACCTGAGGTTACCCGTAATAATTAAAATCCGCGGAGAACAAATGAATGTATAAAGGAGTGCAAGCACTTAAATACCGAGTAAATGACTTAGAACGACATGACGGTTTTACAATTTACAAATATGAAGCAGCGGTTAATGACCATGTGAATTGTTTAGGCGGGAACAATTATGGGACACACGTTTCCCTTTTTATATGTATATAGATTCAACATCAACCACACAATCTCACTTTTTCTTAAAATTCGTGTCACACTCCTTTGTCCCAAACATAGTGGGACGGAGGTAGTGATGGACCCGGGCCGGGCAAAGGCCCGGTCGGGCCTCGGGTCTGGTATAGGTAGGCCCGGGCTATGGCCGGTTCCGGTTCGGGCCGGGCCACCCGGCCGGGTCACGGGTCGGGCCACCCGCCGGGCCGGTTCAGTATATTTTTTTTTAAATAATTATATATTATACAAATTCCTATTAAAAACAAAGTTCACGTGCATTTATTTGAAATAGGAACTACATTTGAGAATTGAGAAAAAATTAACAATACGAAATACATTTTCTAATAAATATCAATTGGGATTTCCGCCGACGTTGGTTGTTGTTTTCCCTTTGTCACAGGACTTCACATGTTTTATTGGCATCCCGTATCCGTGTGAACGCCCCAAACAACAATCTTTCTTGCACCACTTGCAAGTTGTCCACCACAGTCCGGTCTTCGGGTCCTTCCACTTATCAAAATTGTTTTGCATAAGGGAAGATGTACTTTCCATCTTTAAAATGGTATATGTATAAGTAGGAATGTAGGATAATAAGAGAAGATGAAGATGAAGAAGAGTTGGAGAAGAGTTGGAGAAGAGGTGTAGAAAAATGTTAGAAAATAGATGTATTTATAGATGTTTTTGAACCCCACTCCCCACACCACCACCCCCGGGACCCCCCTGCCCCCCACCCAAAGCCCCAACGGCTATATAGCCGTTTGGGAGGTTTTGTTTGAAAAAAAATCATTTTTTTAAAGTTATACATATTGCAAAATAAGTTAATTAATTTAATGAGTTAAGTAAAGCTATTTGTACTTAGAAAAGTGGTTTGATTTATAATTCACAAATGTTACAAAATAGGTGTATAAGTATTTAAACAAATTACATATTGTAAATGTATTTTTAATTTAAAAACCGGC